TAATACAAATTTTTTTATTTTTTTCAGCGATTCGTGCTTTTTTTTATGAAATATTTGGTTTTTTTTCCCTTTATTTTTTTTATTTAAAATGGATGAAAATTGAAAAGAATTTACAGAAGGAGAACGGAATCGATAATCAGTGCTTGGAAGTGCTAAATGTCAGTTTCTACAATTATATCATCCTTAAAATTTGAAAAAAGTACTGTCTATAGAATTATTAAATTTTATAAAGAAACTGGTCAAGTGAAACCACCTCCACGTTCAGGATCACAACCTAAACTAACTAAACGAGATACATATTATCTTGTTCGTCTATTAAAAAAAGATAGAAAGTCTTCCTTAAATGTTTTAACCAACAAATTTATCCAGTCAACTTCTGTTGATGTTTTCTCATATACTATACAATATTATCTTCATAAAAAAGGATTTTATGGTAGGGTTGGAAAAAAAAAATCTTTATAAATGAAAGGAATTGTAAAATACGTTTGGCTTGAACACAAGAACGACTTGACTGAAAAGAAGAATGGAAATTTATTATTTGGAGTGATGAATCATGATTTAAAGTGTTTGGAGGAGATGGTTATGATTATGTTTGGAGGAAACCTAAAGAAAAATATGATGTTGATTGTTTAGTTCCAACATTTAAATCAGGTCATAAGGATGTAATGGTTTGGGAATGTTTTAGTCAATTTGGATTGGGTCCTTTAGTTTGTGTTCATGGTAGACAAAATGCAAATGATTATATTAATATCTTAAATAACCATTTGTTAACTTATTTAAAAGAAATGGATAATCAAAATAATTATATATTTTAACAAGATAATGCTTCAATTCATCAAGCAACTACAACTTTACAATAGATTTCACAAAAAAATATTGATAAACTTTTTTGGCCTGCATAGAGTCCTGACCTCAATCATATTGAAAATATTTGGGATGAATTAGAATGTCATATTCGTAAGCGTGTTCTTTGCCAAAAAATGAGACAGAATTATTTGATTTGTTGCAGAAGGAATGGATTAAATTAGATGTTACAATTTATCAAAATTTGGTTAAAAGTATGGGCTGACATGTTCAAGCTGTAGTTAAAGCCAAAGGATATCTTACGTGATATTAATTGGTGTCAATAAATTTAATTGATATAATTTTTCAATAAAAAAAATTGGGTATCGATCAATATGTAACTTTATGAAAAATTTAAAATTAAAAATCTATAAAAAAATTAATGATTTTAATATTATTAAAAATTTTCTCATGATCCGTGTCAGGGGAGTGTACCACACATATTACAACATATACTGAGTAATGTTTGTAATTATGTACTATTTGTAAAGATGGTACTACAACTGATTTGAAAAATCTGCACCCCAGGTTGCAACCTAAAAAGTTGCAACTAACTTGATAATACGTGTTTAAAAAAATTGGAATTACAAATATACTTATTATTTTACAACAATTGCACCAAATTTAATATAATCTTTTTATTTAAAGTTTAGAACCTGTATGTTTCAAAAAAATTATAGATTGATATCAATAATGGCTTTACAATGTTTACGTATTGTATATACAAAACGGAAAAACTTTTAATAATCATGGGAATTTTTTTGCATTACTTAATTTGCACATACCTTTACATGCTTTAATTGGATTTAGGTCAGAATATTTAATGGTCGATATAACACTCCAGAAATAATTTTTTAAAAGAATTTTTGCGATCTAAAAAATATGCTTTTTCAATTGTTGTTAAAAACACACGATTCTATTTGTATTACAAGAGGAATTTAAATTATATGCATTGTACTATAAAATAAATAATTTCAAATATATTATAATAAATTTTATAAGGAGAATTCAAATCAAAATTCGTTTCTCGGAATTACTATTATCCGTAAAACTCGGGTTATTAGATCGGGTCAGGTTTGGGTTCTCCGAAAATCGACCCCTAAGTTGTGAGGCTTATTACTATTAGAAAAGAATGGAGATTATGAGGTAATTTAAAAACTTAATAGTTTACATAATTTGACTATAATTTCATGATGTGAGCCTTGAATAAAAATTTCATAGTGCTATAATTTTACGTTAGTAGTAGATGAAATTTTCCAGCCAAATCATTTCTTTAATTTTCCACCACGAGATTTGACAAAACTTAAATTAAATTTAACAAAATTAGCTTTATTATCCAACAACTTATTTAATATTCCTTATATGTAATCGTTGTACAGGTATAAAAATTAATTGGATGTGTAACGCACAATCAATGAGCCCGAAAACTGAAATAACCCTGGCTACAGAACAGTTCATTTTTTCCTCACAATTTCGGTAATGACTAAATTAGTCAATAAGGTTTCGCACGTTATTTAAAAATTTTTTTTTATAATAGATTCTATTTATAATTTAAGTTTTTCGTAAAATCTACATTTAATTTCTGTACTATTTCTTCAATACTTAAAAATTTTATCGTATGTTCATTTTTTTTTTTAAAAAAAAGGGTATTTTGGTTACAAAAATTTATATTCTTGTCGATCCACTAACCATAATGCAATAAACGAACGAATGAATACTATACTTAAATTTCAAAACTGTGGTATTTTGACGGATAATTTGCTTATCGTTTTGATCAAATTGTTGTTATACATGTTACGCCACCTATCACAGACATTAAATGAATGTAGGACTTATAAACATATCTGCATTAATGGTAATGTGCGTTCAATTATAGATGTCAATATTTTGCAGGTTACACACATCGAAATACAAAAAAAAAAATTTAGATCAGATTTAAATAAAATCCGGTAAAGGGATTTCATATTATTTATGCAAATATGCATCGTTTTTATGCTAAAGCTAAATATTATTTAATAGTCTTTTGAAACTAATCACGTGAATACTTGGTCGCATATTGCCGAAGATATATAGAGTGGACAAAAACCCCCACATAAAAAAATTTTTATAATTATTTGGCAAGTTTAAAATAAAGTTTTTATTAACGAAAAAAAAGATTTAAAGTCAACCTACTATAATTAGATGATTATCTTTATGACTTGAACTTAAGAAAAAAAATAAACGGAGCGATCTGCTTTATGTCGCACCAAATTCGACCATCTTGGAAAATCGCTTTTTTTTTTTTTACACAATGCATTGTATATGAATTACAGAAACAGCATAGAAATGTTTTGATAATAAGCTCATCTCTCTTTTCATACCCATCCCAATTTTAATATGGGAAGCTTTCTTGCTAAAGAAAGAATGAATAAAAATAATAAACCACCACCGAGTACAACTGATGCGAATAAAGAACAATTCCGTTATATTGAAGGCAGAAGGTTTAATAATGTTCAAAGTTCAAAATATGTACTTCCAAATGATGATGAAGAATGCGATAGGTTACATATGCAACACTTTTTGATGAGATACGCTTGGCAGGGTAACTTTGCTTCTCCCGTTGAACACATTTTGAACGGCGATGATTCTAAAGTTCTTGATGTTGGGTAGGTATCAATGTGAAATTGTAAATGACATCATATTTGGACTTTCTAAGGTATTCTTACACCCCTAAAAAACTTTTAACTTTAAAAAGATGTGGTGCTGGTTCTTGGTCATTTGAAATAGCAACCACTTATCCGAAAGCTAAAATCACCGGCGTAGATATCTCACCCGTTCAACCTTCAATAATTAAGCCAAAAAACGTTACCTTTATACAAGCAGACATTCTTGAAGGGTTATCATTTGCCGATGAAACTTTTGATTTTGTATTCCAACGTTTCTTAACTGGCTCAATTCCAAAGGACAAGTGGCTGTCTGTTATCAAGGAATTAACCAGAATGTTAAAACCCGGTGGATATCTGGAGGTAAAAAGGATGTTGGAATCTTTAGGTTTTATGATTTCTTTGCTTAAATCTAACTAATCGCTTATTATTCAACAGCTGGTGGAATTTAACGTATTATCTGAAAGATTAGGCCCAACTTCATTAAAAATTGCGAATGCTTGTATGTTTTTTTTTTTTTTTATTCATTACTGTCATTTTTTATGTTTATATTGACATACTCAAGTGACTATCTAGTGTACGACTTATGCGAACAACGAAATCTGGAAACTAAAATGGTCCCAAAATTAAAATCATATGTTGAGAAAGAAGGAAAATTTGAAGATATTAAAGAAGAAATTAAACTTATATATGGAGGCAAAGCAGAAGGTAAACTTGGTATAGCGGTATGTACGAAGGTTTTTTAAACTATCCATGATTCCGAATTCCATTTCTGAAATAATTGATTTTCTCTTTATTATAGTATAATGACGATATGATGGGTCTTTACGAAAATACGAGAGTCTTAATGGTTCCATTTATGCAAATTTCTAATCAAGAATATGATCAAATGTTAAAAATCATAAAAGAAGAATGGTTAGAACTAAATTCCTACACGCGTTTCATTCGAGTATATGCTAGGAAAATCTAAACTATTCTATTGTAATGTATATCATGCTTAAAAAAATTTTTTTAGCACGGAAAATTTTATATTGTCTATGAAGGAAAAATTTTTTTTCTAGGAATATCTATCAAAAAATGTTCTCACACTATATGAGTGTTTATTATTATATTGATTAAGTTGTCAAAAAACAAAATTAAGCTATAAATACTATTTCTTTTAATCATGTATAAATTTATTTATTTTTTTTTTTTTAAAGAAAAATTACACAGAATATAATTATTAATTACGGTTGTTACTTTTTAAAACAAAATATCAACATCATCGTTGATGATTTTCTTGGCAATATGTTGTAAAATCTTAAACCTTCTCAATCACTTTTCTTTCTTCTTACTTTCTCTTTATTTTTTTGAGAAATTGAATATATTATTATGTCCTAAATTAAAAGTTCCCATTTAACCAAATGTAAGGAAATGCATGTATATATATATATATAAAATAGTTTCACAAAGTAAAAAATGACGTTTTATTTAATTTAAATTTTGGTAAAATCGAAATCTGAACAACTAAATTCATCACATAGGATTAGAAAAATACCAGAATTTATGAGAAGAAATACCGCTCGATAGGTAACTATTTCATAACGTATCGCTCGACTACTAACTCATTTTACCTAATATATTTTATATGAGAATTAGCTAATTTAAAGAGAATAAAAAGTAATTGAAGGAAATAATTAATTTCTAAACTTATCATTACGTTCAAATTTTGTTTCTCTGTTTTATTTTTCTCATCCCATATTAGTTAAATATAATGAAGGATATTCAAACATTGCATTCGTCAACAACAACTTTTATTCTGTATTGCAACCTTATATTATGCGCCCGACGTTTTGTATTGGGGGTTTTTTTCATTGCTTCGCCGCCTGAATACATTGACGTAAATACCTTGTTATCTGTAACGACAAACGCTTAATAATAACGTTAATAATTCTAATATTTTTTTGTCAAAAACTAGAGTTTGATGAAATATTCGCTAGTATAGAAAGAAATATCCAAAATTTTACCTGTAAAGAAATTTTTTTGTAATTTTATGGATTTCTTGAGTTGTTTAACTTAAAACTTTAATTACTTTAATTGTCTAAAATAATATTTTTGCTTACTTGCATTAATGATAAAGAGAGCTAACTGCATTTTCCTTGTAAAAGTCCAAGATAAAGCGGAACTGTCATTTCAATTGACAGCTACGCCACTTCACACGTGTATTTCGTCAGAAAATTTTTCTAATGATAAACTATTTTCGTTATCTTATGGATAAACAACTAAGAAAGCGGCTCTTTTCGCAACCCGGCAAGCAACAAACCCATGAACGACAAAATTAATTTGAATTTTGCAAATAATAAAAATTGATATTCAAAACATCAAAATAAAATGAATTATAAACATTAAAATCTGTTTATTTTGCTGACAAAATTTCAAACAAATTCTTTTCAATCAAAAGAAATACGAGGCGTACTAAATATGTAGCTAAAAATGTCTCACAACACAATTCAAGAACTAAGGAAGCAAGTTGAATAAGTTCAAAATAAAATTTCAACGATCGATTTGAACAAATCAAACCTAGGTGACGAAACGTCTTAACGCCATTTTAATAAACATAGATCTTAAAGGTATATTAATGAGAGATAATCAGTACTTATAAATTTCAAAAGGAAAGAAAATAAAAATTAAGGATATTTAAATGGAAATTTTGTGATGGAAGGAAAAAGGATAGAAGCTTAGTGAGTATGTATTTATAATAACTTAACGCATAATGTGTAATGTTTGTCTTGTTTATTTTAAGGAAAACGCACGATGATGACGTAATAAAGATTATGTCATGTGTGCAAACGATTTTGATTGGCTAATTTGGTTAATTTGGTGCAACAGAAATCAAACGTAAGTGTTGAAAATTTTTTTAGGTATGTATAGATCGTTTATAAACTCTTGATAAAAATTGTAATAATAAATTTTATGAATAACTTTTAAAAGAAATATGAACTTTGAAATCGACAATGTTCATGGGACCGCCAAGGTGGGACCCAGTTCCTAGGACCGGGTCCTAAGTTTCAAAAATTAAGATTCTGGGTTCCCGTGTAAGTTTAATATTTATTTTTAATAAATAAATAAAAATTTTCTCTAGAACTGGCAAATTTATTGGGACTTATAGGACCGTTTAGAACCGCTTAACTTCCCTAATTTTTTTCAAAGAGCATAAAATTAAATCATTGTATTTTGGATATCGAATGAAAAGAAAAATATTTCAAAAAATCAACTTTCATAATTTTGAACCTGTGCCAGTGTTTTGGGTCAAATCATTTTCTCGAAACCAAAACTTCACCTATATGTCCGAAACCTTAATTTGTAAATCAAATTGGGGGTATTAACATTACTTGTATGATTTTAGAAATAAATTTATAAATATATATAAAAATTAAATTTTTTGTAATTTAAGATTTTCTAATTCCAAATTTTCAATTCAGCCTGAGCTCTATTTGCCTTTCAGCTAATTTCATTTTTCATTCTTCAATTTCAATTTCTAAAAGTAAATTTTTGATTTCTTTTATAAAAGCTATTAAATAATTATATTAAATTCTTTTAATAATAAAAATTATTTAATATATAGTCAACTCACTTTAATCACACCTGTTATAGTCATATTCATCTATATAATCATATCTGTAAACTCTCAAATTTTTATATCTCTATATAGTCACAAACTGCATATAATTATATTACACATAATTTTTTCAAAAATCTATTCATATGTATTATATGGGATTTTAGTAATAGAAAAGGAAAAAGTTGTCAGAAAAATAAAAAATGAATTAATACCAAATTTGAACATATTTCAATCTTATTTGGAATATAAAAGTAAAATTATTTTTTTCAGCAGTTTCCTTTCTTTTTATTATAAAACATCATATATAAAATATTAGATTGTGAAATGAAAGTCGAATGCAATGCTGATTTATTCATTATATAATTCTAAACATTAAGTATTATATATAATTTTATCATTATTATATTATTCTTATAAAGTAGATTTAAATGCTAATTTTGAGTTTTATATAAAGAAACTGCTAAAAATATGAAATTATAATCCAAAAGCTACTGACTAGTATTACACTTTACAAATATTCTTACTTAGAAAATAAATTTTATATATAATAAAGTATCCAGATCTTTCAAACTTAAGATCCAGATATAATTCAATTTCAATTACAAAAGTTTTTATAATACATAGATATTTTATACCATTTATAAAATCGTAAATTATATTTATTAAATATAATATATTTTTTATATTAATTTGATAAATATTTAAACTATAAAATTTACATTAAGTTACTATGAAATTTAATAAAATATATTTTTAAAATAAACTTACTATAATTATATTATAATATAAAATCTTTGTAAATAATAATTTACTGCAATACAACTACATATAAATTAAAAAAATAAATTAATAATTTAAATAAATATATCAACAAACTTATAAAATTTTACATAATTCAATAAATAATATAGCATTTAACATTTTTTTTTCAATAAACATTATTTATTTAATAATTTAACTATTAACTATTTATAAACTTAATTTTTACTAACTATAAATCCCAACCTTAAATTACATTATAAATTTTCATTTTCTTTAGTATAATTATTTTCATTTTACTACTATTATCTTCTGATTTACTTTTATAATTATTATCATCTTATTCATTTTCACTATTATTATTATTTAATTCACTTTCATTATTATTATTATCTTATTCATTTTTATTACTATTACCATTGGATTTATATTTATTATTATTATCATCTACTTTAATTTCTCTTTCTTTATTATTTATATTTTTTATTTTATCCAAAACATTATTTAATTTTTCAAATTAAATATATTCTTTTATAGCTTTATTTATTTAATTATTTTAATAATATCACATCTATTTTTTTTAAAAAAATTTATTTTAATTATTTAAATAATGAAGAAAATAATAATAAAACTAATTTTAACTTTAAAAGATCTATTTAATAATATATCAAATAGTTGTAAAAGGAAAGTTAATACATCTGGAATAATAATTAAATAATCTAATATTAAAAAAACCTTAAATTATTATTATGTCTTGCATATTATATCCAAATATTTTCTATCTATTAAGTTATCTTACTTTCATTCATCTATCCTTGCTTATTAATATGAATAATTACTTTATTAAAAAATACTTCACATAAAATATTTACTAGTTTAATGATAATGATTAAACAACGTTATTTTCTTTTATTAATCAAATTAAGCTAACGTATAAAGCCATCAATCTATTTTGTAAAAATTTTGCACCTTTTATTATCAGAATACACTGCTTAATATATTGCTTTCTTAAATAAAGAATATACTTTTGCTTAAATTATATAATAAAAATGAATTTAATTAATTTTGAGATTTTTTATAAGTTTATTTTCAATTAATTAATATTTCGCATATGTATCTGCATTAAACTTTTGAATTAGAAAGCTAAATTTCACTAGTCGAACGATAATAAATAGAGGACCAATCGGTTCAAATCTGGGTTATCAGATTTGACCTGATTGGTCCCTTATTTTTTTTTGTTTTTTAGAATAAAGTGATCCTGATTATACATGAAGTTGAAATAGATTATTTCAGATATCTAAAATAGTTGAAATAGTCACAATCAAATTTTTTAACAATGTAGCACTGCCAATAACTTTATTTAATTTTTATAAGTAGTAAATACAAAGTAGAAACAAAAAACTAATTTTAAAGTATTTAGTAAGACAAAAATGTGAGTTCTAGGATAAATTCAAAATAGTACTCAGAAAAGATTCCTGACCGCCTACAAATAAATTCTAGCTATATGAATCAAATTATTGAATTTAAACCTCTAGCGCAATTTGACTAAAATCTAGATAATGATATAGATCTTAGTTAGAAATAAACCTTCAGATATCAAGAATTATACT